CCCCTGCCCCGCCGCGCGCGCCCGGCGCCGCCGCGAGCGCCGCCTGCTGGTCGCGCGTCAGCATCAGTCTGTACCGCTCCACAAACACCGCGTGGGGGTACCGCGTGGGGAACCCCGCCCTCGACACCCGCGCGACCTCCAGCACGCCGCAGCACCGCAGCTGCCCAAGCACAAGCTCAGGGCAGAACGCGCCCGCCGCCAGCGCGGCGTTCGGCTTGACGCAGCGCACAAAGTGCAGCCCGGTAGCGTCGAGCGTCGCCAGCAGCTCCCGCAGCTGCCGCCCAAACCGCCCGCTGACGGTTGCGTTCGCGCCAGAGCCCCCGCCGAGGTTCCCGCCGGGGTTTGCGGCGCCGTCAGCAGAGGCAACCTCGGACAGCGAGGCGCCGATGTTGGAGAGCAGCCAGCTGTCGCTGTCGGAGACGATCCCCAGGAGGTCAGGGTTCAGGGCGTCCTTGTTCTTGTCCAAAAAGCCGGGGGCACTGTAGGCCACGGGGCCGGCGTAGTGGCGCAGCAGGAATTGGTCCTTCGGGGAGGAGAGGTGGCGGTGAGGACATGTGTGTGTGTGTGTGTGTGTGTGTGTGTGTGTGTGTGTGTACGCGCGTGTGCCGGCGCCTACGTAATCTTGAGTGTGTTCTGTGTTGGGTGTGTGCCATTCGGATGAGAAGCAGCGTCTAACGGCAGAGGTGCACTGGAAGACACTAGGCAGTCGCGATCAACACCAGCCACATCCAAAATCCCAAGCGTGCGGGTGTCGCGCGCATGCGAGGGAAATACCGCGCCCGCCGGCAATGCCAGGTCAGGCCTTGGGTCTGCGCACCGGGTGCCGGGGGTCGGTCGCAAATATCTCGTTTGCGCCCATGGCGTCGCGCAGCGCGGTGACAAACGTTTCGTCGGAGGCCTGCGCAGCCATGGCGGCACGGGAGCGTGAGTGCAGGCCGGGGCGTGGCTCAAGGTGTGTATGTTGGCTGCATGCGAACCGGCGCGTATGCGATTGTCAACTTGCAGGCGCACTGGAGTGACAGCCGCTCACAAAAGCACCCACTATTGCGACACATGCAACGCTGGTAGCACGGCAGTGCGTTGCATCAAGCGGGGACCCTGCGGCAGAGCGCTGCGGCTGCACGCGCCGGCCAGCAGCGCGCTCAAACTCCACCATCAGAGCCCTTGCCTTGGGGAATTTGCACTGGCTGTCCAGCACAGCGAGCACACCCAGGCCCCTGGGCGGCATCGCGTCAATGGCTTCCAGGCAGGCGCTGTTGTCGGTCCACTCCACCTTTGGTGGTGAGAGCGGCCGTCCCAAAACAGTCGGTGCGCGGTTTTGGGGTTGGCAGGGCAGGGGGAACGTGGTGAGACGTGCCACCAAAAGGGAGCCATGGGTGATTGGGTTACAGCTTGGGACATGATCTGTTGATCTTGGGCTCGCATCGTCCTTGCTCCCCCGTTCGAGCCACCTGTGCGGTTGCCTGTCTGCAGTCGTGCTGCTTGCATGTTGACACGCATGCCGGTAGCGGCCCAACAAGTCCGCGCCCCCCCTGGGCCCCCCACCTTCGTCCAGTCGACCCCCTCAGCCATGTACTCCTCCTGCTCCAGGGTGAACAGGTGGCGCGTGAACTGGGGGTGGGGTAGGGGGGCAGAGGGGTGGGCTGAGGAGTGGGCTGAGGAGGGATGGGTGGGGACAAGAGCAGGGGTGTCAGGATGGGTCGGGCAGGTGGTTGGGTAGCTGGCTGGCTGATTATGGTGAGCAGCGCGAGCCGCATGCTGCTGCAGCCCATCGCGCAGGGCTTGAGCATCATGACGCGCACCATCACGCCCCGCCCCTCGCAAACACACATGTCGCCTCGCCCCGCCCCTCAGGCCCGCCCCACCTGCTGCTGCAGCGCCTCATTTGCGTAGTTGATGCACAGCTGCTCGAAGCTATTGGTGTTGAACGCCTCAAAGCCGTATATGTCCAGGATGGCGATGAACTGACCGGTACCGCGGCGACCGGTGTCCAGGGACTCGTTGATGCGGGACACGACCTGAGAAGCCAGGCGGACGCACATGCGGGCGCGTGTGTGTGTGTGTGTGTGTGTGTGTGTGTGTGTGTGTGTGTGTGTGTGTGTGTGTGTGTGTGTGTGTGTTAGTTGTTTTGTGAAGGGCTGTGTCAGTGCAGTGGTAGCGTCCCCTTAAGCTGCTCAAACAGGCCAGAGGTGCATATTCAACAATCAACTGAAACCACAGCCTCAGGCAGCGCACCCATTTGAACACCCCTGCGTAGACGGCCTTGGCGAGCGCATTGCGCGCCTCCGCCGCCTCGTCAGCATTCAGGTGCTTCACGATTAGATCGTTGCGCGCGCGGATCTGAGTGCCAGCGGAGACGAGAAGCGCGGGGACAGGTGGGACAGATTGCAGAGAGCAGGCGAGGCCGAGAGGGTGTTGGGGTGGTGCTGCTGAGGGAGGTAATCAGAGCGACAACCTTGCACTGATGCGCAGAAGCATAAAACGGCATAGTTGCAGGGACGGTCAGCAGCAGTTTACCCTAAAAAACCCTTGACCGTAAAAGCGTGCCGCACCTTTTTGTTCGTGAGCGCGTGAGCCAGCGCGTCCTTTTCCACCCCCAGCATCTCCGCCGCCGCCTCCAGCGCACCGCCGCTGCCGTCGCAGCTTGTTGCGACGCGGCTGCTGTCATCAGTCACCGCCTCAAACTCCAGGTTGCCTAGCCACAGCACCCCGGACAGCAGCGCAAACAGCGCGTTTTGGTGATCTGGCGAGATTCCAATGTCGGCTAGCGCCGCCTTGACCTCTCCAAAGTCTTTGGCATCGTCGACGCCAGCGATGTCCTGCAATTATGAAGCACATCGTGTGCATGTGTGTGTGTGATATGCGTAAGAGTTTAAGTGCATGGAGTGGGGCATGTGAGTGGACGCACTTGTAGTTGTGAACTTGTGCGTGAAGTGATGGGCTCGTGGCAGCCTGCATGTGTCCCTCACCCATCCCTGTGCACGGCCGATCGTCATCCCGAGACAGCCCCCTCAAGGCTCTCAACTGCACTGGGCAACCTCCACAAGCAACACACACACACACACACACACACACACACACACACACACTTCATGCCGGAATGCTCTCGCACAGCCCCACCCTTGATGGATGGCGCACCAGTCCATGCGACCCCTGACCACCCACCAGGCAGCCGCTCTGCGCCAGGTACTGGAAATCCTGGGGGCGGGCCGGCAGCCGCAGCGCCGCCCTCAGCGCCTCGTCAGCGCCGCGCACCAGCTGGTAGAAGATGTGGAAGGAGCGCTCCCCTGGCAGGCGGCGCGCCTTGGGGGGAAGGCGACCGGGCAAATGATTCAGCTTTTTGGAGAAGAGGCTTCAGTCCTTGCCGCACTCGTGCTGAAACGCGCACGCACACACACAACGCACCAGCAAGTACGCACGGGTGCAAGCACACGTATGTGTGCTGCCAGTTGTAAACGGTAGTGCAAGGCTTGAAATGGCGCACAAAAGTAGCCGAAGCGTGCAAACACATGCAGTGCACATAGTCAGGTGGACTGGGGCCCCACCACGCGGCTCTTCTCCAGGAGGTAAGTGCGGATGCGGGCGCCGCAGATCTGGTGTGTCGCGTTGAAGTGGATCTCCACCAGCTTGCCAAACCTGGGGCGCCAGGGGGGACGCAGGCGCAACAGGTGAAGGGTTTTGAGGGGCGACGCGGTCTCAAAAGGACCCGGTGCGTCGGGAGAAGGGGGCGGCTGGTGTGCAGCAAGCATGGCGGCCCGCCGCCAATCCTCCTTTCGACGGCCGGCTGCCGTAGCTTGCTGGGGGTGGCGCGGTCAGGGGACAGACTGGGCCGCGGCGCTTGCGCACGTGCGCGTGCACGTGTGCGCACGCGCCTGCTGCTGTTGTGGTTGCGCAGCGTCTTGGCGTTGCCGAAGGCCTCCAGCACCGGGTTGGTCTCCAGCACGCGCTCCTCTATGCGCCCCGGGCCGCCCGCCAGGGATGCCAGGAAGCGCATCGCACGCTTGGTGGTCTCGGTCTTGCCTGCGACGATGAGGTGGGAAAGAGGGGGTGGGGACAGGGAACAGGGGCAATTGCAGGCGGATTTGCTTCCCATACAACGGCAGTTTGTGCTGGCAACTCTGGGCAGAGAACCATTAAAAATCACACACACACACACGCACACCACACACCACACACCACACACAACACACACGCAGTATACATACGCACACCTCGTCTCCTACCCAGCGCAAGCCGCTGTGCACTCCACTGTCGCACCCCCGATTTCCCCCCACATGAGCACCCCGGCCCCATACACTTGCTGCGCGCACAGGCGTGTGAGACCACCGCACCTGCCCCAGACTCCCCGTTGATGACGATGGACTGGCTGGCGCCCTCCCGCACCATGGCCCTGTAGGCCGCGCCCGCCACCATGTACACGTGGGGCGGCAGCGCGTGCAGCGACTCGTGCGCCACCGCTGCGGGCAGGCGGCAGGCCGCAAGGCGCGCGTTTCCGCAAGGGGGGCGCGTCAGCGAGCGGTGAGCCGCGGGTTTGCGTATCCGGCCGTGTCAGTCGCCCCGCTCACTCTGCAGCTAGAGAATAGCCGCGTGACGGTCCCAACCCCCCCCCCCCAACACACACACACACACTTATACACACACACACACACACACACACACACATACACACACACACACACTTATACACACACACCCTGCGCCCAATCACTGCGGTCCACGTGGTGCCACCACGCCCGCCCAACTGCTCGCTGGGGCCCAATATTTTTGAGCCCGCCTGAACCCACCCCTGTATTCGTGCTGGATCTCTGGTGTGTACAGCGGCAGCTCCTTGCAGGGGTTGAGCGCGATCAGCACCGGGCCCGCGCAGGTGTAGATGTGATCGGCGGAGTACCGCAGCTGCAGGTTGCCCAGGATGGAGGGCTCGTTCAAAAATGACAGCTGAGTGAGGTCCGGGATCGCCGCCTGCAGATCCGGGTTTGCGGGCAGCAGGCTGGACGCGGGGACGCCCTCGAGCACCCGGCCGGCCATAGGGCCGGACAGAAGCGTGACCACCGCTGCGGGCGCGGCGAGAGCCGCGCTGCCAGCGCGCCCGTCGGCGCCCGCCGCGATTGTGGAGTCGGCGGCCGGCAGCGGCTCTCGCAGCTCAGCGAGGATCCAGGTGGTCGCATCCTGCCTGTACCAGACGCGGCTGCCGCGGTCGAGCGCGCCAATGGCGTCGTCGACACCAGTGGCCCGGGCACCACTGGCATTGCCGCCTCCGCCGTTTGCGATGGCGCTAGGAGTCCCGGGCCTGCCTGGGGACCTCATTGCTGCTCAGATTTGTCCTGCTGTGTCAGCAGCTGCGGCTGGGCATCGCCCCTTGGTGACTTGGGGCTGGTTGTGCCAACAACACGGCTCGGGCTGGGCGGGGCGGCGCCGCCTGTGCGGACGCAGCGCAATGGCGTTCGGCGATCGCGCTGGGGTGCTGTGAGCCAGTATGAAGTGGCCTATGATCCAATTTTACGTTCGTTTTAGCGTCGTGGGTGCTGTAGAGGCCCGCGCGTTGTCGGCCTTGACGATGCAGAACATCAACATGGGTTATATGGACCGCTTTCTTGTTGATTTGAATTACTGCTCATTTCCTTATCACGCCACGCACCTCAACACCTTTGGCTGAGCAGACCAGCGAGCGGTAGGCCACGCCAGGTCTGATCGTCCACCGAGCCCTCTATCTCAGCTAGAAGGGGCCAACAAAGCGGTATCCGTTGCACTCTTCAATGATTTCAATCCTCATTATTGCTGAGCGGCGGGGTTCCATGGCGTTCGCGGTGGCTGCAGCCTCATCGTGAAGTGCCCTGGTCATCAGGGGGCACCTGACGGGAACCTGTCGCCAGGTCTGTTGCTAACACAAAGGTTTGCGAGTTTCGTTGAGAGTGGACAAGCGGGGTTGATTCTGTAGGAGCCTGCGTACCGCTTGACTTGGCTAGCGGGGGCTGTGATGTCAAGCTCACAAGGGAGCGCGCTTCCTTGTTAAATGTGGTGCTCCCTTGGGCTCAGGCAGCACAGCCCACGCCAGCCCCTTGGTAACAAGAATATGACAAGTCCATAAAAAAGTGCATTGTCAAACAACCAGCCTTGTGAATACACAGCTCAGGTCCATAACAGCAGTCATCGCGAGTACTGCTCCTCGTACAGACCCAGCGCGCCAAAAAGGTAGCCCTGTTGGGTGGGTGGCGGCAAGCCAAACAGGTGTAGGCACGACCGCAGAAGACAGTTGTTGAGCTGCTCAAAGCCAACAGCAGCGCAGGAGGCTGCATGGACAGAGGGTGGATGAACGCGACAGGCATGTGTGCAAACAAACTCACCAAACACCACATTCCCCAATTCGCCCACCTTGATTGCAGGGACAACGGGGCTCTTGCCCTTGCGGCTGGCGAGGACGCCGGCCCCCACAGCTGTGACCACGTGGCCGATGAGCGGGACGAGTGAGAGCTTCTGCAGCAGCAGCTCCGTGTCTGTGGTTGTATGAGTCGCAGTTGAGTGGTTCTGTGAGTTTGCACCAAACTGAGGGCGCAAGCAGCTTGCAGAGCGCAGCGGACGGTGCCTTTGATAGTAGTTGCAGCATTGGTTGCAAAACAAGCAACACAAAAGAGCGGAAGAGGACGAAGCAGCAGTTCCGTGGCTGGCGGTTTCCTCTGGCGGGGGTACTGGGGCTGCTGAGCCTACCCTTGGTAATAGCTCCGATGCGGCTCCAATCCCCTGACCAGGCCGCGTCATACAGCATGAGCAGCAGCAGCAGCTCCGCGATCTGAAATTTCAGGCGCGGGATTGGGAAGCAGGGCGGCCCAGCATGCCACCTAGCATGCATAAGTATGCTGCGGGGGGCTGCAGAGCATGCGGGCCATGGAGGCACACGGCACAGTGACCGGCATGAGAGAGCGCTCCGCCGCCCTGTTGAAACGAGGTTGGGCATCCACCCGGCGCCTGCGACAGCGAAGCGCACCTCCATGGCGAGGTAAGCAGGCGTGCCAACGAGCTTTGCGACGCCGCTGGGCTCCGGCTGCTGCTGGTCCGTCGCGGCTGCTGCAGACGCCTGCGCCGGCTCGCCGCCGTCCTGCGGCAATGATCTTATCTGCATGCCGCATGCAGGCGGCGGGTGCATGCGCGCGTGGGGGAGCGTGAAGCCGCGTAGGTGAGGGTAGTCAAGGGCGAGAGCTTGCGCAAGTGCAGCAGCGCCGGGGTCGCTTTACCTGTATGCTGAAATATTCCTTGTGTCCTGGTACTCGGCAATCGGCAACAGCTTCACGTCACAGCATTCTGCTCACCAGCACGCCCAAACCCCGGTGGTATGGCTGCAAATGTGTGGGCCGCAGAGGCGCGCCGCAGCGTGGTGCCCTGCAAAGCCCGCGCAAATGCTGTTGCTGCGACGGAGACCAGGCTGACAAGCGCGCTCCTCTTGCCGAAACCGCCATCTTCCGTAACTATATTTGCTGTGTGCTCTGAACGGCTTCGACCCGCGGTCGAGGACTTGGATGTATGATAAGCACAGATCGCGATGTCATAACAAGCACAAATTCGTTATCGTAGTCGATATAAACACACAGATGCTCAGATGCTACCCTTGACGTAACTACAGTTGATACCAGCCATGGCCGGAACCACAGAGCTCTGAGCTCTTACTCACGTTCGGTATCACTCGCACTTGGACTGTGGTCACTCGCAATCCGCCCACCACTCTGTGCCTGAGACAACTGGACGGCATCATATTTGAGGTTACATGTATAAGGATGTAGCCCGTATGACAGACATGCCAGGTCATCAAGCATAGATTGTGGCACAGCGCCCTGCATAGAACCGGTACTAGAATGCAGCGACTACGCCCCGGCGTGCAGGTGTACGGCGCACAGACAAGGGGTAACTGTATCGATGAATCGTCACGGCGGGCTGCATGAAATGATTCAGGTAATGGGGTGCGAATGTTGCAAGGCAGGCCCTTTGATGATGCCTCTGTTTCTTCTCGCATCCTGTTTGCTTGCCACAACTGCATGCAACGCAGGGGGGGGTCAGAGTGACATCAGGTGCACAAGGGGCCACAGGGAAAAGAGTGGCAGGCTGGCTTCCCTGCCGCGCTGGGTGGAGCTGACAAGGTGGAACCCCGTGGATGGAGCAACGGCACGAGGCCGGGACATGGGACACGAGACCCAGCATGAGCAAAGCGCTAACCCAGCACACAGGCGTCTGTGCCGCGCAGCACGTGCCAGCACACAGACAAACACGACAGGAATCATGATAAAACTGGAAGAGACACGGTCAATCGGCTTGGACTCAAATTGGGGCGTGGCTGCTGTAAGCAGCCGGCCGCAAGGCAAGCTCTGGAAAAAAAGCGTGGTGGTACGAACTCAAGTCAAACCAGGGCGTGTCCCACGTGGCACCAAACAAGGACAGTCGAGAGGGATGAAACAGGACCAATATGAACAGGCCCGTTCTCAAACAAAGACGCCGGCGCGGCGCTCGGGAAGCGACGTTCCGGCCGAACCGGCCACGGCGGCGGACGCGCCCGCATGTACCCTAAACGGCCGCGCAGCCCACGAAAAACACCCTGCTGATATTCTTCATCACAGACAGCCGGCTGCGCGAGCAGGCCTCAAGACCTGGCGCGCCCTCACGCCGCCACAGGCCGGTAGGGGCGCGCGTAGTCGAGCGCGGCCACGACCGCGAGGAACGACGCCACCACCAGCCCGCCCAACGCCCGCAGCAGCCGCGCCGCCCGCACCCGCAGCGCGAGCCACCAGAACCGCCGCTTGCCCCGCGCGAGCCGGATCGCGCGCGCGTACTGCTGCTCCCGGATCTTCCGCGTCGCGGCCGACCAGCCAAACAGCTCCACCTCCGAGCGCCCCGCCGCCCCCAGCTCCCGTGCGGCCGCCGGGTCGGCCACCAACCGCCGCACGTGGCCGGCGCAGGCCGCATAGTCGCCTGGCGCGTACAGCAGGCCGGTCTTGCCTGGCTGCGTGAGGATGTCGGTCAGGCCGCCGGCCGCGACGGCGACGACGGGGACGCCGCTGGCCATAGCCTCGAGGACGACAAAGCCCAGGGTCTCGGTCTCGGAGGGCATGACAAATATGTCGGCGCTGGCGTACGCCTCGGACAGCTCCTGGCCCTTCATCATGCCCTGAGGGGTTTGGTGGGGGAGGGGTTCGGGGTCATGAAGAGGTAGCAGGCTGGACGAGCGCACGGCCAAGGGCAGTGCGCTTGTGGGGGCGCAGATGCGCAGCAGGTGAGGCAAGAAAAGCGAAATCAGACATGGTGCAACGCGCCGACACCCACAAAGGTAGCGTGGCAACAGCCTTCGCAAACGTTTGCACGCCAAAGCCCTCGCGCCAACTTGTTGCCCACACCCCGGGCGCCTCACAACCCGCCCACCATGAACTTGACGGGCAACCCCGCAAAGACGCGCTCCAGCTCCTCGCGCTGGGGCCCGTCGCCAACAAACGCGAGCCGCGCGCTGGGCACCGCCTCCAGCACGCCCTTGAGCACCGTGAGGTTTTTCTCTGGGGGGCGAGGGCGGGCGATGGGAGGGATGGACAAGGTTCGAAAGCGGCGGGTTGAAAGCAGCCGCAGCAGGAACGGGGTGGTGGTGTGCCGGTCATGTGGAAGCTGAAGGGCTGGCTGCATCCCGTTGGCGCAGCAGCAAAGTGCGACGTTGGGCCAATTAACCCAGAGAAATCGCTTCACAAACCGGCAGGTAGTGCACGCTTGCGCCTGCAGGGATGTCCCAAACACACAACAACCGAACGCGACAAGAGGAAACAGCAGGAGCGCGGTCAAACGCAGTCAACGCGCAGTCACCTGCTCCCAGGCGTCCGACGTATACGAGCAGCGGCGCCTCGGGGTGGCCCTCCGTCATGCGCAGCCGCATCTCCTCGCTGCGGTGGCGGGGGTGGAAGACCTCCGTGTCGACGCCGCGCAGCCACACGTCAATGCTCTTGGGCCGGCACTTGTTTTTCTCAAGCTCGCTCTGGTGGGTTCGAGGGTCAGGCCGGATGCCGGATGGGTTCAACGGGTTGGACGGGATAGGAGACATGAGGAAATACAGCATGCCAGCATGCATCAACGCCAGGCAAAGCCAAACAGACGCGCCTGGGCGGGCTGCTGCCCTGCACAACTGCAAGTCCAAGGGTGTGGCATCATGCGCCCGCAGGAAGTCAGGCCTGACCCGCACGCACCATGGTTGCTCCTGCTCACCGACCTTCACCCC